TGACCACAAAATATTTTGCCTCATGTTTGCAGTATCACTGAGGTGTTTTCCTGGAAATCTCATGTGGGATTTGAGATGATTGTTTCAGGTCCCTACATCTCTCCTTTGTGGAGTGATCAGGATATTGTTGACCCATAGTCATTTTGTACAATCTCAGCCACTGAACTCTGTAACTCTTTCAAAGTCACCTTTGGCCTCACAGTGCCATGCCTAATCAGTTACTTTCTTGCCAAACTTCCCAGTTTGGAGGAACAGCTGTAACGAACAGTTCTTTTTTTCAGACCCTATGCGGATGACACAATCCGGGGTTGAGTGAGAAACACAGGGGAAAAAGCCACGCAGGAATCGGGAATGAATACGGGGAGGCGTGTCCAAACTGTGCAGCTGTCCAGGGGGGCGAGTCCGGGGCAAACAATCTAGAGGTAATGCAAACGGGGTATCAAAAAACAGGCAAGTCCAAAGCCGGGCGGTCCATCCGAGAACAGACAGGTTAAAAACAGGAACCGGGTCGGAACCGGCAGGGGGAACAGGAACAGAAACAGAAACTTAAAAGCATAACGGAGCCAGATGATTACAGGTCCCGGGCTCGCAGGCTATGGGAATCAGATGACGAGAGCCGAACTGAGTGGGTGATTGTCTTTTAAGGGGGGCAGGAAGGAGGCTGGAAAAAGGGGCAGGTGTACAAAATCAGGTCCGAAATGCAAGAGCCGGAGCGCCCTTAAGGAGGAGGGATTACAATCGTGACAACAGCCTGACCTAGGTAGTGTCTGAGTGCCTTCCACTTCTTAACAAATGACTTCCTCATGCGTAAAAAGCTTGATTGTTAAGGGTCTTTAAAATGTTTTTATACCATTTTCCAGATCTGTGCCTTACTATAATATAATATATTCTATACTATTATTTCACATAGACAGAGGCCACACAACTAAATGTGTTAAAAATAAATATATTGGCTAAGCAATTGATACTGGCACGTAGTAAGCAAAATGTGATCTTGACTTCTTCTTCCTTGTATAGTTACTTAAATTTGCTCTTGTTTGTTCGCTCAGTAATTCAGTCTTTATATTGCATTGTGAACTCTCCATGTTGCGTTATGCGTAGTGGCATTATTGAGTCTTCAGTGGCAGAAACAACCAGCCAGGCCTCCCTGGCCTCCTGTTGTAAAATACAACTCTGATTTGACAAGGCAATTGATGAAAGTTTCCTCTAATTGCTACCTGCAATTTAAAGCACACACGCACCATTTCAGATGGCTTTTAAAGATATTTCTTTGAAATGAACATGTTACCCTGTTAGGTGAGCATCTGGAACACTTTCATGGTTCAGGAGTTCTGACTGGAATGAATTTGACTTTAAGAATAATGGCAGGATGTCACTTTCCAAAGTGCATTGTCTACAGAAGTGAGTCATCCTGCGTAAAGTGGGTCATGCTGTCAAAGCTCATGTCTAGATTTGAGGAACTGAAAGATCAGTGGGAATTTAGTGCTGATCTTGTCCTTCAGCCCCTGTTTGAAAAGCCGTGTTGAACGGAGAAAAATAATCATGAAGAATAAACAAACAATTTCAGCAGTTTGGAGAACAGCTGCTTTCATGACATCATACACTGCAGAATTAGCTTTCCCCTCAAGTAACCTCAGAACCATTTCCAGGTGGCTCACTGAGAAGGACCTCTTGAAAACTAGATATTAACCCCAGATGCACAGAACTTTAGACTGAAAGACAACAGGTGTCAGGGAACTTATTGGTAGAATAGGAGGATCCTTATGCGTAAACATGAATCCCACAGAACACAGAGTAGTAAACGGACAATCCAAAAGACGAAATCCAGAGGCTTGGTCAATTAGGGAGGCAAAGGGTCCAGTAACAAGAGATATCCAAAAGACAATCCAAAAACAAAATCCAAAAGGCATGGTCAAAAAGCAGGAGCAAAGATTTAGTAACAGGAGACCAGTCAAAAGGCTTGGAAACACACAGGAGAATACTACAAGAGGCTTCTCAATAGTAAGCATGGGTAGATGTGTGAGGGGGAGGTTAAATACTGAAAGGAAAGGTGTGTGGTAGGATAATTGGTTAGGGAGTGACAATTTGTGGAATCTAGTGCATGTGGGAATATGATGGGTTCAATTAGGAATGAGATTGTGAAACAGTGGTTCTGGGAATGCAATGCCGCTGCCGAGGGAGAGTGTGGGGTGTGACAGGAATGGAACGGCGTTTGCGAGGGAGAGTGTGGGGCGTAACAACAGGGCTGTGACAAAACTGAGGTCTCACATATCCGTTGTCTCCAAAACTACAAGCAGTCTAGAGGGGCGTCAGTGTGAGTCTTGGAGTGAGCACAGTTTAGCCAGTGACAGTTTTTTTGTTAAGGTGTACAGTATAGGAAGTTGAAATTGATGACATGGAGTATTCATCACATTATCATTACTTCCAGATGAAGAGCTGCTTATTACTTGAGCAGATGTAGAAAACTTGATTCCAGACAATGAGAACTGAGGGTGAGCATCCCTGGACTGTGGTATAAGAATTAGAAGAACAACCAGCCAGTTATGCACTGAAAGCAGTACAGAACCTAGACAAAAGGTGGTTCAGGTAGTAGCAGGTTGGGTCATAAAAATTATAAAAAGAAAATCACCAAAGCAACACAGTACCTATCCAGTAACTTTCCGAGAGCATGTAATAAATCAACCCTCAGCTGATGAGAGTTGTATTGAATACAGTATTTAAGAACATAAGAAAGGTTACAGAGAAGAACATTTGGCACATCTGGCATATTGGTAGTTAGCAACTTATTGTTCCAAGGATCTTGTCCAGCCTTAATGTCTTTTGATTAATAAAAACAGAAGCCAACAGTTGTACACACCCAATTGTTCAGAAATTACACAAGAATACAAGATAGGTTCCATTCAGCACATCTAGTGCATTCGATTTGTAGTAGTTAAAAATCCAGCCATTTCTTGAAGGAAGCCAGAGTGTTGGCTTCCACCACCAAATTTGGTAGTTTGTTTTATACCCCCACAACCCTTTGGGTAAGGATGTGCTTCCTGTTTTAAGTTTTTCAGTTTTAAATGCACTTCCATGTAGTTTCCAGTTGTGCCCTCTGGTTTGTTTCACTGTTCATTATGAGCAAATCTGCTGGGCTAACTTTGTCAATATCTTTAAAGATTTTGAATAGTTGGATGAGGTCTCTTTGTAATTTTCTCTTTTCAACATAAAAAGGTCCAGTTCCTTCAGCCTGTCTGTGTGGAACATGCCCTTAAGCCCTGGAATGCACCCGGTTGCTTTTCACTGGACTGACTCCAGACTAGCAATATCTTTTCGATTAGATGGTGACTAAAATTGCACATAGAATTCTGAATCCCTACTTGGAAATTGCATCGTTAAAAAAACCTTTAACTACAAATGCACAAAGAACACGAGACCTTCCACACATTGTCTAGATTTAAAGGATGTCAGAATAAACAGACTGTAGTCTTTTTCATAGGAGGCCTCTTCTACCTCAGCACTTTTCATTTTTTGTCATAGATAATGTTTTTGTTACCTGCATGCAAACTCCTGCACTTGTCTGCTTTACACATCATTTTTTAGTTTGCCCAGTCTTGAATTCTGTCCAAATATTTTATGAATTTCATTTGCTGCTTCTACAGTGTTTGCTAAATCCTGTTAATTTGGTATCAACTGCAAACTTGACTTGTTTACTAAGTATTACTAATTATAACAATCTAGATCGTTGATATATATTAAGAAAAGCAGTATGACAAGTACTGCAGTAATTACTCCAACCTAATTTGAGTATTTACCCCTTATCTGCTTGGTAAAAAGGAGGATGCTGCACATTGGTGGTGGTGGAGGGGAGTCCCCATTACCTGTAAAGCGCTTTGAGTGGAGTGTCCAGAAAAGCGCTATATAA